CGGAATCTTAACTTGAGTATTTGGCCATTGATGGTTTGTGTGAGAGAACGTGAGATGAGAGAGAGAATGAGCGGGAATAAGAGAAAGAAAGTGCAAGAACTCTAAAAATTTCACTATATAAAGTATCTGATTAAGGCAAGATTACATGCATGATCTTATCCTCAATTATTTCCTCTAAACAGATTAAATTTATACTAATTAGAGGTAATTAGTTTAGCTCACGTAAGTTAATCTACTACTTACAGTCCAATATTAATTTCTTAATAATTCAATATTGTTTTATATTCTTACTCGCGTAGTATTTCAAACTGTTTCAAGTCTTGAAATTAATTTTAGACTGAACAAATTCTAAATTTTACTTTTCTGCATTCTATCCCGAGAATGACGTTGTTTCTAACAGTGTCAACTCCCGAGCTCACAATGTACCCATCTACTATAGGTATTTATCTTGTGCCTTTAACCTAACTGTCTGGCAATTAAGGATTTTTTTTTCTTCTTTTAAAATGTCAGTGCGTTTTTTTTTATACGCCGCTATCATCGTGCTGTGCTTGGAGATTCTTGAAATTAAGATTCTCAAACTATACTTGTACTGAAAATTATTCCGCCTTAAAATACGGCGAGAATTTATCGATCGAATTTACTTGATCGAAATATGAACTTAACATGAAATTTGCTATAGAATTTAGGAATATATATATATTAATTCCATAAATCCTTCATTCATAATATAACATAATATTTTCTAAGAAAATCCTTGGCTTAAAAATACATGAATTGTATTATTTAAGGTCTGAAATTTTCTCAGTCATTACAAATTGAACACAAACACAACACTGCAATTAACAAAAAATAATAATGATGATTGTTTGCGGTAAAAAAATGAATCACAAATGGGTCTTAAAAAAATGAGAAGAGAAAATAAAATTTTGTACTGGCCCAACTTTAGGCTGGCCCAAAAAATAATAATAATAATGAAAAAAAAGAAAAAAAAAGGGATTAAAAAAAATGCACGTTTTAAAATGTGGAGAGAGGGTGCAAAACGTGGTGTGTGCAAAACGTGGAGTAGCGATAAAAAAAAAGATGATGGTGCAGAACGTGGTGTGTGCAAAGTGGAATTCTTTTATATAAAGGAAGAAACAGGAGGAAAAGCTTTTCTAAAAAAAAAAAAAAAACCTTGGTACGTGTGTGCAGAAGAGACACGAGAAAGCAAGAAAAAAAAAACAAACAGAAAAAAAACTTATTCTTAGCACAATCCCATGATTGTCACTAACACTTGCATTTCTTTATAAGTTAAATGTGATTTCAAAAAATTAAGGATTACAAGTTTCTCAAAAACTTTGTTATGATTTTTTGAGTGTAATTCAAATGAAAAATTCATACGAATTACACTTTAAAGATCGGCATATGAAAAATTATGTGCATATGATTTATACGAAAATATTTATATGAATCACACTATACCCGTCAAGAAACAATCAAATAAGGAAAATTAAAAAAAAATTGAAAGCAACCGTCACTTGCATCTCTTTCTCAATACCTTCACAAATATATATATATATATATATATATTATTTGTGAAGGTTTTCTATATATTTGTGAAATATATATATATTTATTTGTGAAGGTACACGGTTGCTTTCATTTTTTTTTTTAATTTTCATATATATATATATATATATCCAAGAGTTCACGTGTGTTGACGCTTCAAGGAAGAAAGCATTTGTAGGAAGAAGTCCACGTGCTATGCGTTTGCAATGCGTTTGCAGGAAGAAAGCGTTTGTGGCTTAGATATATATAAAAAAAAAAGAGGAAACGTGTAGAAAGGATGAGGATTAGGGAAATCTAAGCCCCGTTTGCTTTGCTGATTTGAGTTTAGAATTCGAGTTGAGATGTGACTTTATGTGAGAGTTTTTTACTGTAGCAAAAAAGTTAGATGTGATTATTTGTGAGAGCTTTTTACTGTAGAAAAACTCAAATTCTAAACTCGAATCAGCGAAGTGAACGGACCCTAAGTTTCCTTTAAAATCAAATCGTTAGCACAAAAAAGAAAGGATATACATAATACAATCAGATCAATTGGTTTAAATATGATGAAATTCAAAATTAAAAAAAAAAGATAAAGGATAAAGGATAAATTTCAAAAAAATTCAGAATATTAAATACTCAAAAATTTAAAATGCACAAATTGAGCTCCTTTATGGTCCCTTAGTTCAAAAAGATGAGCCCATTGTTTCATAAAACCATATGGTGATTAAATGCAATTTTCAAATCCCAAATTCAAATAAAAAAAAAATCTCAACACAAAATTCAAAAATGATCCTTTTAATTCCTCATAAGGTCATATACCGGGGAATTATCCAAATACAACTTTCAAATCCAAATTGTAAAATTTCAAATCAAATTTTAAAACACTTTTTAATTCCTCATAAGGTCATATATCGGGAAATTATCCAAATACAACTTTCAAATCCAAATTCTAAAGTAAAATTCCAAATCAAATTTTAAAAACATCTTTGAACTCCTCCTATGGTCATATATCGGGAAATTCTTCAAAATACAAATTCAAAATTAAGAACTACGATTGACTTGATTCCCTATCGGATACGTAGGCAACCTAAAATTTAGGTGCAGTTTCAAGACCAAATTCAATCATAAAAATCCTCATAAAGGACAAAGTCAAAATAAAACTAAATCAAACTTCAAATGCGTAAATTCCTCATAAGGTCATACACCGAGGAATCATCCAAAATTTTTAAACCTAAAATTCGAACTACAAGTGGCTTGATCCCCTAATGGGGTATGTAGGCAACTCGGCTAAATTCATCGAGTTCAACCGCAATTTTAAATCAACCCAAATTTTCCAAATTCACAGAAAATAGAATTTACTGTTTTAACTGGAATTAAGAGGTTATTCTTATAATCTTGAATGAGTTGAACTAAAAATAATAAACTCCTATACTACTTAAATCCTAAGATAGGTGAAATTATGTTGTGTGTGAAATATTATTTCAACATTAATAAATATTTTCACTCAACATAGTTTTTAGCACGCTCGGTGGGACCCATTCTCCTTTTCATCTCTGGTTATAATGGTAATATTTTATTATAGTAATCATTTAAATATAACCGTTTGTGTCATTTTGCAGAATGACACCACAAATTACTGTGTACTTCCAACAACTCCCATCCGTTAGGATTGCTGGGGAACAAAAGAAGGTGGGGTTTAAAACGACCTTCACAATCACCGGGGCACCTGCTGTTGTCATGGTGCCAAAAGTTCTTGAGGTTTCCAAAACGAAGCAATCTTCGAAGGCTCTTTGCGGTAAGGCTGCCAAAGGATTGAAGAAGAGGCAAGCAAGGTCTGCCAAAAGAAAGTTTAAGCAGGCTGTAAAGATCGTAGCCATTCTCCTTCCGAAGATCGCCGAGGATGCAAAAGTTAAAACAACCAAACTGTCAAGACTTGTTCTGCAGAAACCGCTGAGATCATGGATCAATGACCAGTCCAGATTATGATTGGTTCGATCCCCATTAATATCGGTACGGTGAAATCTGTTATGATGACAAGTGCTGAAGAGATATCTGCTCCAGCTTCCCCAATAACAAAAGAGGTGGACATCTTCACTACATCACAAAATGTTTCAAAGACTGTCGAACGGAGTGTACAAAGGGGGAAAGTGAAGGCAATAGTCAGTGAAAGAAATCAAATGGGCTTGGTCACCCAACTTGGAGAAAACTCAATGAAGAAAGTTAGAAGTGGTGGACTGAGAATGTCACGAGTGAATCTTGGGCCATTATTCAACAATCAAAATCAGGAGCGAGATGACGAAGGGTTGACCATTATGACCAAGAATTGTTCAACGACGGAGCTTACTGTCAACAATGAAGTGGAGAGAAATGCATTGGTACCATATAAGGGACCAATCACACGATCAAAGGCACGTTATATGCATGATTCTTCTAGTCCTCAAACGATTAGAGATACACCTCTAATAGGCCAAATGGAAGTGTCAACTGTTGATGACGATATAAAATCAAGAAATATGCCAGTTTTAGTTACTGGAACGACAAGCATGGAGGAGCAAGGTGAGCAAATATGAGAATTGAGAAGGATGCTTGCTGAGAAGGAGGCTGAAGTCGCGAGACTCTCTGTACATTTACAAGAAAATGTGGGTTTGGGTCAAGCATCTGGACGAGGACAGACATCTGCATCCCCAATACCCCAACCAGGCTTGAGAACTGAGATAAGACAGTCAGCGGATCCAATACCACAACTAGACTTGAGGGCATTAATCATGGATGGAATACAAGAATATCAAGCTGCTATGTGTATGCCGGTATTAGGGTACTGAAAGCCTTACCCGGCACATTATGATCAAATCCCTTTCTTTTGATATTATGTAATGCCAAATTTTGAAAAATTTGATGAGATAAATGGGTCTCCACATGAACATTTGGCATACTATACCTCTGCATGCAGTGAGACTGCTCAATAAGACGCACTATTGATTAAACAGTTCGTGTAATCTCTAAAAGATGCAGTATTCATGTGGTACACACAACTTTCTCCAGGTTTCATTATTACATGGGATGACATGTAAAAAAGCATTCTTAGCCAAATTTGTCTCCTAAAAAAAGAAAATAACAATCACAAATTTAGTAGAAATTAAGCAAAGACCGGGAGAAAGTACAAATAACTTTATCACTAGATGGAGAAATCTTAACTTTCAATGCCCAAAAAAATTGATAGAGATTTCTACAGTTTTCATGTGTGCTAATAATCTCATCAATAACTATAATAGAAAATTGAGTGCGTTTACTGTAGATAAAGACACGATTCTACTGTTCAAACTTTCATCGCTCTATTTTGTCCTCTTGTATGGTTTTTTTTTTTGTTTTTTTTTTCAAGAATCGTATTTCTCAAGCGGTTTTTCTGAGAATCGTCTTTCTCAGGCGGGTTTTCGGAGAATCGTCTTCCTCAAGTGAGTTCTCTGTTTCTTTTTCTGAGTTCTCTTTTCTTCTCTCTCCTTTTCTTCTCTTCCTCTGTGTTAGTGTCGCTTTTTGGTAATAATTTTGCTTCTTCATCTTCACTTATATGATCTCATTTCTCTTTAACTTTTGAGTTAAGAGGAAAAGGGAAAGCTCTGCACTCATTTTTTTGGTTTCGTTTTATTCCTCTGCATTTCCTCTCTCTCTCTCTCTCTCTCTCTCTCATTTTATCTTCTTGCTGGTTGGTTCTTCTTGCAGATTCATGGTTTCTCTGGTGTTGTTCCTCTACTCACCTTTACAGGTTTGCCTTTTTCTCCTCTTCTAATGCTTTTTAATTTTGGGGATTTCTTTTTCTATGATCCTAGGTTAGATTGCTATTTTGATTTTGATTTTGTTTGTTTTTTTTTTAAACTATGTTTACCTTTTTGTCGCTGAAGTCGTGTTTGTGCAAAATGCTTGGATTTTTTCAAGCCCTAAGTCAGAATCCAAGCTACCCCTTTTGTTGGCCTCTCTTCTCTCCGCCGTATCTCTCTCTTCGTCCTCGAGAGAAGCTCTCATTGGAACCTCTCCGTGACTGGTTCGGAACTCCGACCACCCTAAAAAATAAGGTGATTTGTGTTACCAGTTCCAATCTCCTTTTCAATCACTAGGTAACCTCTCTTTGATATCCAAGTCTGAATAGGTAAACTCTCTTCTGTTTATTTTTTATTTTTTATTTTTTTATTCTTCCTTATCATCTGATGATGTTAATCTTTTCTTCAATAAAAAAATTGTCAGTAGTTTGAGAGATTACTAAAGAGAGTACTCTGGTCCCTGAGTACTTAATTAAAAGAGTGAGGAAGGTCATCAATGTTCTTTCTGTCAATCTTAGCATTATTATTGTTATTATTATTATTATTATTTTTTTTTTTTTTTGCTTTTTGCAGTTAGCATTGTTCCAAAGTTTAGATTTTATTTGTTCTTTGGGTTATAAAGATGCGTATCTTTGTCTACCTGTGTCAGAAACTGATTTATACTTGAGAAAGCTTGAAGAATTGGACAAACAACTTGATAAACTTCAAACCAAGAAGGTTCAAGACCATCTGTGCACACTAAAATTACTTTATTTAGTTCTTTGTTTAGGTGATTTTGAAGGATCTAATAATATAAGTAATGCACATCTGAGCTTATAGGGGGTTAAAATACAGAGAATGTAGAGGTAAGTGTTCTACGTTTTTAGTTTTCCAGTATGTGTAATTTATTTTCCCTTTTGGTTGATCATGTTTTCCCTTATTGTATTGCCTGCTACAAGACCTTGATGTCTGCACTTGCAACACAACTGTCAATGGTCTCTGTACATTGAAAAACATAACCTAAAATGTGGTAATGCACTAATGAATGACTTTTCCATGTCAGGAATGCTTAAAGATGGTAATGTGCTACTACTTAAATGGAGTTTTTATCTATTAGTGCGCTGGTTACTACCTTTTCTATAAGAATCTTTATCAATTACCTTCTTGAGTCGCTGCAGGAATTTTGGTTAAGCTGAGTTACGTAGTGGCTGGCAATTGCTCTCTAAGGTAAAATAGAATAAAACGAAAGGACAAGTTGAAGATGTTAACTAGGCGCAACTGGGTGCTAGAAAGATAAAGAGCTATAGACACATCTCGGGAAGAACATTGAGCCATAGCAAATGGGTATGACTAAGATTCTTCTTGTTGGACGAAATGAATTACTACACAAACATACACACACACATATATATTGTGTTAGCAATGTGTTGTATGTTCCTAAAATGTGGCATTGAAGCTATAGAGTCTAGAATGTACGTTGATGTGTTGTTAGTAGTACAAAAATTACATTTGTGTCCGTTTTGTTGAATATCTACATCTCTTTACCCCATGTTTGAATCCTTAGATAGATTGAGCGTCAGCTTGCTAAGTTAAAGAGGAATCTTTTAGCAAGAAAGAAATAGCAAAAGTTGAGAAATGGTTGGTTGCATGTGATCAAGAGGGCTGGCTTGAGTATCACAGGTTGGTCTTAAATTTTTTTTATGTTGTGACTTTTCAGTTTTTCCTTTGTTTTTCAGTTTATGACCTACAAATAAAATGAGACACTAAAGAATAATTTTAATTTTTGTGCAAGTAGAGCTCGATCAAGGATCAATGTTCGCTGAAAATGTAGTGGGTCCAATTTAGTATTGATGAAAGATTAGCAATAGTATTTGACTCTTCCCTCAAGACATAAAGAGTGTTTTTTTTTTTTTTTTTTTGACATTCTTATGGGTGTGCAAATGTTCTATTTTGTTGGAAGTATGACTGAAACTTATGAACCATTTTATTTTTAATCTTTGATTACTTCATTGGAATATTGTAAATATTATAGATTCTTTGATATGCATTTAAGATTTATTTTTCTTTTGTACAGTGAATTAAAGAATTGAAAGTACATAAGGCATATGAGGCTACAACTAGACATCTTTTAAGTAGAAAGCTGACAGGACTTTAGATGTCACTTGTTTAGTAAGCGACCTCTAAAGTCTTTTTAAATGCACACTGTTAAGGGGGCTTTAGTTTGCCATCCGACAAGCAACGTCTAAAAGGAGGTTTAGATGTCACCCGAAAAAGCGACGTCTAAATTGGTGCTTTTCCAGGTGACGTCTAAGGCCTTTTGTGTAGTGTAGTTTAAACAGAAATTTAGATTTGTTTAAATTCTTATGAGGTTTTCTGTTACAGAAAAAGTTTGAATCAAAACTTTTTTATTCAAACTTATGAAATAAAGAAAGGCTTCATATCCTTCACAATATGAATCAATTTATGAATTTATTTTTTTTCTTCTTTCTTTTCAAACCATGTCAAGTTTCCTTTCTATGTATATCTTTGTTTTTCTTTGGTACAAATATGTAACAAATATATATTTGCTGTTTAGTTGTTTTAATTGATTTGTATTCTAAAGAGAAATATTAGCCAATGTGGATTAAGAGCTTGTCTGGGTTTAGTTGTACAATCGTCCAGAGAGAACTCATGATTCGTTTGCAAAGACAGCTCGAAATTAGGCAAAGTTAATGCTTTCTTATGAGGATATTCTCAATAAAGAATATAAAGAGTTCTTTTTAGAAAATCAATACTTGAGAGAGAGAAATAACAAGAACTTTTGAAATGGGTATTTGTCTAAAAAACTACAATCTAATAAAATTGTTTGAATTATAGTCATACTTATTTACCAATAAGACCTTAAAAAAGAGCTTAAAATTCAACAGATCAATGATGAAACGCATTTGTGACGAAAGGATGAGTTAAAGGATCCTTAACTTTCAAAATTTTAACCTTACTAAATCCAACATCATATGTCAAAAATAATTCAACCAAAATCAAAGTTGAAAATATTCATTCTTCTCAAAATGTATTTGCAATAAGAAAAAGAAGTATAATCTAATGGACATAATTTATGACCTTAGAAAAATAGTGAAAAACATAAATGTGATGACTAAACTATAAAAACACGATTAGTGCATATATTATTTATTGCTCACACGTGCGTAGCACATGTATCAAACTAGTGTATATAAATGTGCGTGTGTGTTATGTTGGTTTCTTATAATGGAAAAGGATGAGTTATTTTTTATATGTTTTTCTCCGTGAAGCAAAAATTGCTAATGGGTTGTTCATTATAAGTAAATTGCACATTCTCTTTCATTGTCCTGCATTTGTATATGCATCTAGATTTAGGTTGTTTATGCTTTAAACTTGGTTCTTCAATATGTCTTTTCTTTAAAGTTAATAATGTTATAAAACTTGCACATTAGTACTTGTCTGACTCTGGCTGCACTATAGCAATGTTCAAATTTGTAGAAAATATTAGATAAAGAGGTAAAGAGTTGAAGAAAAATCGATAAAGCTAAAGAGTTTGTGTTTTACTATAGTACAATTTTTCTATTGGTCAGGTTTTGCTAAAGAATGTTTATGTGTTGCTTTTATCTTGGTTCTTCATTTTGTGAATTCTTGTTCACTTTTTTAGTTAATACTATGAATTTTATCGTGGTTTGCTGGTTGGTATGTTTCATTGTTAAGGAGTTATTGTCTACAAGATATTATCTACTTCCAACAACGTTCTCTGTCTTCCTAAAGGTTACCTTTCTCCATCGGTTTCTTTTGTTCCATTCCTTAGTCATTATGATCTCTGATTTAAATCTTTTGGCTTTTCATTTGTTATTATTCAAGACTTTTGGTAAAACATTACAATAAGGAATTTAAATCTGAAAAGTTATGGGTTCGTTTGGATATCTGCACAACTTGTATGGAGAATTACAGCTTCGTAGTAGCGCAGAGCTACTTCAAATAATTTTGGGTGCAATAAAAAAAAACTCATATATGTGTTTTGTTAATATTTTTCCATTTCCTCACTATATTTTTGTTATGATTTCAAATTTTAATTTTATTAAATGATAGATATTTATCCCCACAAGATTTTGTATTAGCCTTAATAGTTATTGTTCTGCATTTTCCTAGGGAATAAATTGTAATTGGATAAAGGCTTTGCTGAGAAGTGAAAAGCGAGAAGCTGAGCTAGGCTGCAAGAATTAGAACTTTAGAAGGAGAAAGCTTTTGTGCGAAGCAGGTAGATTCTACCTATATAATAGGTCCTTAATTTTATTCATTTACTGTCCACAAGTGTCGCTCCTACTCAATTTTAGCTCAAATTGGCTTTTTATTAGCCCATTCAAATTTAGTGACTCTATGTGATAATAGTTATTTCGTTTTCCAAATAATGTTATTTGTACCAATTACAATATTTCTTGTTATAGCAGTAGTATGAAAGGCTCTAAGGACTTGGAACCATTGATCCTAGGTTACACTGCAATTAGATGAGAAGCAAGAATACATATACAGTTTAATTTTTTCATTGTTCACCTTCCATCATCAATATTTGATGTGTATTTATTATAGTTCAGTTCAACCTATTAATTCCTTAATACTACTTGCCGAGGTTTGGAGAGTAGAATATCTCATTGCATAAAATTGTTTCTACAAAACTGCTATACTATTATTAGTTAATAAGTTTTGATGTAGGTCTAGTTACGTTTTTCTATGACCATAAACATTGATTATTTCTTTTTTTATTTGCTACTTAAGAAGAAATTGAACTAACATTCCTCTATCTTAATTATTCTTTTCCCGTTTTCTAATTATGGCCGGTTCATTAGTTTCCTTTCTACATCTCTCATTTTTTAAAACTCTTGAAGATGTTTCTTGTTAATCTCGTTGGCAAAAGAACCCAGCGTTTGAAAATTACAATGTGGCTAAGGTACTTGTCTTTTAGAGATCTGTTTCTTCTTTCCATTTTTTGTTTAGTTTGTGATTCGTAGTATTTTTACTATAATTGCACACTATTTGTTAGTTTAGACCCTTGTGATTGCTTTTTAATTTTGTACTCAATTTGAATTCAGATTATTGATTTTTATGAAATCTATTATATGTGACTTTGATTGCTTGCTATTTGTTCCATGTCTGTTAATTCATCGCGATCAATGTGATTTCACTTTTATTTTTCTTGATCGTTATCTTACGCTGTAATTTCTCAAAGTTTTAGTTCTCTTCTAATTGATCATCACATTCATATTTAGTTATCTGTATCTTCATAAGCATTGTTGTTATATATTGATATTATATTTTGCTTTAATATGTTTTTCTTATTGATATTCAGTGCTTGTGTTGATATTTTTTTTAATATATTAAACTCAACCTCACCCTTCTTTTCTTTTTTTTTTTAATTATTACGTCATACACTTTAATCTTTACCTTTCTTATATAGTTTTGTTTTAATAACTAAACTACTTAATTGTTGTTTGGGTACTCATGTTAGATCCAGCCTAAGTTATTCAATATTGGTTTTCCGCTCTCTAACTAATGTTTAGAAGTAACTTCATCTATTCCTTTTGTAGTCTGAATTCTGATGCGCAAATGGAACAAAAAGGAACTTTTCCATGTTCTTAGGTTCTTTAGCTGCATAATGTTACAACTTTGAGTACAATTTGTGTTCAATACCAAAATGGTGAAACGGTTTAGTTTGGATCTATGGGCTTCGATGTAATTTTATTTTTTTCCCTCTTCAACAAAATTTCTCAAGCTGTCAAGTTCTTAGATTTTAATATACAGAAAATAACAAGTTTTTGTTTGATCATCACCAAGGGCCAATTGAGCTACCGTCGATGGAGACGATGATGACAACAATGCTAGAGAGTGCTGATTCTGAGGATGCCAAACTCTCCCATCCGAGTTTGGATCTAAAAAGCATCACCAGAGCCAAAGAGGGTTGAAACCTCACTGAGATTAAAATCCCTAACAACCATTAGATCATCATTCAACGGTCGTGCCAAAAGAAAATGATAAGGAAGAAATGCTTTCATTTGAGTGCAAAAAAGAACAATAAAACATTGCCTATTCTATTGTGTGTTTATTATTTAGTTAATTCTATATATTTATCCTTATTTAACTAAAAATAAATTTAAAAATCCTAAAGAAAAGTCACATGCGCACGTGTAGTTTTTAACTAGTATTGTGCAAACAAGTTAGTCAATTGATTTTCAACGACTTAAGTTGATGGCCTTCCTCGAGAGAGTAATAAAAGGGCAGGCCAATATTCTTTTGGCTTCAAGCAGGCAGTAAAGGTCTTGGTTTTAATTTGGAGATCCTGTAAGTTTTTTCATTTCTTCTTGATTTCTAATTCAAAATTTCTTTTGATTGCTCGTGTTTTGGGTTCGTCCCTTCTGTTGCTTATGGAAGATTTTTGGTTTTTTTGGTTGATGGTATAAATTCGTGAAGAAAAATCTAAGTCTTTGGTTAAAATTATCTTGATCCTTTTTTCTTTGTTTTTCTCAAACAATTAATGGGAAATCAGGGATGATTATTAACTTTAAGAAGCTAAAGTTGTCTTTATTTGCATTGGATTGTGACTAAAGTGCACAACTTGACTTCACTATTAGCACAAGATCGAGATACTGAGTCAAATTATTGACAAGTTTTGAAGGACAATTTTAAAGATATCCCGTTTTTGGTTGTTTTACTTGTAGGGCACTCATCATTCAAATATTGATGATTATGAAATTATAGTTGATTACAATAGGCTGCAGTTGATGCCTTGCTAGATTCCACGAAGGTTAGGTCAATTTGTATTCCTATCTTTTAGAAATTTACTCTCACATAGAGCGAATTTGTGTTAATTTTGTCATCTTTTGACGGGAGGGGTTCTTGGTGGTGAGAAGGAATCAGGAAAGCTTTGTTTTCGAGGACAGAGAGGCCTTTTGAGCACCCCTGTATGCATGACTTCAATCTCATGTGTATATTTTACGCAATCTACTCATAACATCATTTAGATTGTTGTCATTTATCGTGCATTCAATATATGATTTTTCACTCCCCTTCATATCTGAATTTTTTTGGACAAAAAGGAATTCATGCAATAAAACGGTCAGATTTATGTTGTATACCATAATCTTGGAATATATTGCAGGATAAGGTGTACCACGAAGTAGGTGGTACCATGATGGTACTTTGTTCTCTTTTCATGGTTTCACAAAACGCCGAGATTAAAATGCATTAAATTTAGGATGCATACATAAATATTCTATTTTAGCGTCTTAGGAACAGAAAAAAGCTACTCCAGAATGAAACTTTGAGCATTGTTATTGCTATTGCTATGTTGGTAGCCAGATTGTGCATTAGAATTACTCTCGAGAAGGAGAGAAAGTAGAAAACATTTAACTTGTATGGTTCAAAAGTTCTTTTATTTGATTTTTAGGCTGCGTTGTCTTGTGAACATATAGGTCATATCTATTCTAGTTTTCCATATCCCTAAAATTCCCCATCTTACTAACCGTGCTCAATTTTAAATTGGGGCCCGATGGAGCCCTACAATGTTTTGGAAGAACGAAACTCATGGTTACTCACCAAATATGTGGTCTTAAGAAAGTATACATGAGACTTTGGGAGCTCATCAAATCACGTGCCTGACTGTTCAACTGGCCCCTCAAGTTTGGCAAGGTCGTTGCAACATTTATAAAGGTTTCTAGGCATTTTGTTTGGATTGAGCCATGAGGAGTCTATTCAATCTTTGAGACTTTAAACCAACTGAAGTTGGCCTAAATTTATGGTTGACATTTTTAAGGTTTTACTTTGAAGTCGGCTTCATCATTTGATGTTTTAGGGATTTAGGATAAACTACATTCGGGTTTCTTTGCCGGCTTTCACTTTGAAAGAACATTAGGGTTTATTGCTATCTATGATTAGTTCAGTAGGGGACAATTCTGTTTCGTCTATTGATATTTATTTGAGCACCTCTCATCTCATTCCCCTTCTTTTTTTTCGGTCTTTTATTATAATCATTACTATTATTATTTGTTATTATTGTTGACAGTGAAAATTCGTCAACATGTTAAGAATAAGATTGTGGTGGTTTGTGTTTGGATCAGATGTGATTATAACGTGATTAGGATCAGATGTGATTATAACATGAGGATCAGATGTGATTATAACGTGATTAAAGAAAATTAAGAGAAAATCAACACAAGAATTTATAGTGGTTCACTCCAATATAGAGCTACGTCTACTGTACAAGAGAGTTTTTCACTATCTTGAGAAAAATTACAATTCTATGGAGAAGTGTTTTGGAATCTGAACCCCTTTTAGGGGCCATTCTCCCCATATATATATATATATATATATATATATATATATATATATATCACAACCCATGGCAATTGCATGAAAGTCTTTTACACTCCACTTGATTAATATCTCCACAATTTGACAGATCTAAGTACCCACTACCACCCCCCCCTTTTACTTTTTTTTGTTTTTGTTTTACCTCCTTATATTTTTCGTCATTTCACAAATTGACCTTTAAATCTTAATTTTTATAACTAAAACCTTAAGGTATCCAACCGTTATAACGTTGCCAAATATGATATAATTCTTTAAATTGAAAACCGAAAAAATGGTTAATTACCAAAGTTAAAAGCTCATCGTGTAATTTGCACCAAAGCACAAAAACTTCCAACATGCAAAGCACTAAAAGCGTGAGGTGTGTATAGCCACCAATTTAAATGATGTCATCAATTAGGGCTATATTGTAAGGATTTGGCAAATTGAGAGTTAATGTCATAATTTAAAATTTAACGGGGTTATTCTCCAAAACATGAGTAATTCAGGAGGGTAAAGTACTAAAAACCTTTTTTCCCCACTCTCTTTTTTTTTTTTTTTTTTTTTTTTTTTTGCCT